TCAACATCTTCTTTTCCTATCGCTATACTGCTACCGAAAAGAGCATCCTGAGAGCAATCAAAAGACTTTTTTTTTTTTTTCTTCTCTCTCTCTTGGAGACCTATCTCCATATTGGAGATTCCTTCCCATAACCCCTAGGAGGTGACCCCTAACAGGATGAGTGTTACGTCTTCCTTTGGTCCTCTTTCATAGAGATCACTTGGGCTTTATTTTGTTCCCAAAAGAAGCCCCCATTTTCTTTTGTCATATTGCTCTCAATTTTTTGAATAAAATATAGGTTTAGTGACTTTGACTTTCAACAAATATAACAATCTCCACCTTGATCATAAAATCACCAAATTCATCTTGCCGACTTTCATTGAATAGATTTCTTAATTTCTTATCACATGCTTCCATTGTGGAATTTTCTAAAACACTTTGCATCCGTATTTTTCCACCTCAAACCATGTATCCATCAAACTTCATTATTCATATTTTTCTTAATATAAGTCTTAGCCCCGTACGCACCTTGTGCTCTGATACCAATTGTAAGGTTACCAGGAATCCCTAGATTGAAGAACCGAGAATCTCAAATATCGAGATCCTACCCAAGATCATGTATATAGATGGCCAAAGCTAACAGGACCACATATTTATAGGTGAGTCCGCTGAGTCACCAAACACGTTTCCTTAAAAGAAGACCGATCCGGATTGGATCGTTCAATCGGATTAAAAATTGTTGAGACACGAAGCCCGATTCACACATTGTTTTTCTTAAATCGTGTACATCAAATTGGGACTATTTTTTTTTTTTTAATTTCTTTATTTTTAACATACCACTCGTTACGAGACGGTTAATTAAGCTTTAAGTTACCTACTTGAGACAACACTTTTAAACATTGAATCCTATTAACTTTCATTATTCCCTCATGTTGGACTAACTCTTGGAAGAGTGTGCATACCAGGAGTGTGCATCCAAATAACTTTCATTATTCCCTAACGTTAAATGATGGTGGAGGAGTGTGCATATCAGGAGCAGTAGTGGTGTCAAGTCTCAGTTGCAAAGTATGGGAACGATAGGCATGAGCCATTTCTTCCACTAAACAGATAGTTGCCAAATATGTGAGATGAATGGTTGGTAGGGGAAATGAGACTTCATTTTGCCATTTTAAATAGATCAGAGATAGGCCATTGAAATGTATGGCTATGAAGAAAAAAAACCCTCTAATTGATCATCCCGACATCGTCATCTTGACATCGACATGTATGGATATGAAGGAAAAAAAAAAAAGATTTTGAGTATAAAAATTATGCATCTTGCAACGCATTATCTAGACCGTTCATCTTCAAGATTTTCATATGTTTATGGATCTAGTTGATTTTAACCATTTTTTAAGTTTAAAATTTTATATCGAAAGATAAGAATAGATTTTAAATAATCCTAAGAATTTTTTACACCAAATATACATGTTATCATAAAATTTGGAGGTGCGCCTTAATTGGATTGTTTATGGCTGCAACCTTATACAAACCCCCAAAATAAAATTTAGTTTTTGCCATTAGAATACAACATTGTGAAATCTCCACTATTGGAATGGTGCTTGCGTACCCTTCTGCCCGTCCACGATATTTTTGTTCTTTTTTTTCCTTTCTCCCTCTATTTTCTTATATTTTGCATTCCTTTTACCCTTTTTGTTCATAGATATCCATAGTGATATGATGCAGAAGCGGGTATAAGTACTCCAAGGCGAAAATAAAATTGGAACAATAACAATAATAATAATAATAATAATAATAATAATAATAATAATAATAATAATAATAATAATAATAATAATAATAATAATAATAATAATAATAATAATAATAATAATAATAATAATAATAATAATAATAATAATAATAATAATAATAATAATAATAATAATAATAATAATAATAATAATAATAATAATAATAATAATAATAATAATAATAATAATAATAATAATAATAAGAAGTTGGTAGAATATACCATTTCTCAAGGTGTGCAAGAGAATTCACCCCAAAATGAAGAGACATCTCCCTTTAAATAAATTTTGGACAAAACAAATAATTAAAAAATTAAAGGGACAAAAGTTATCTCTCTCTCTCTTCCATGTTTTTCTTCTCCCACCCTATTTTCTCACTCTTTATCTCCCTATCTTCTCTATTTCCTCTTGTTTCTCTCTTATCTCGTAACAACTTTTAACTCCCACTTATTTATCTCTCTTTTAAGATTGGCTTTATCCTATCTAAAACCCTAAATTTTTATCTAGAAAAGATAATTAAAGATAATCTCTACTTATACTAAAGACCTATTTCTTAAACCAATAGCAAATCATGTACCAACCGAACTTATCTTCCCGGGTTGGGAGTAGCTCGACCTTGAGCTTATAGAACTCAAATATTTTAGAGACCTTCTCAAAAGTTGGTGATAGAATGCCTCTGGGAAAGTAAATAAGCCTTTGAGAGCGAGAAGAACCTCAAAGAGGGAAAACCTATGTAGATAAAGTCATTAGAAGAAATCAAAGAGTTCAAAAAGACTTACTTTTTGGAAGAACATTGTAATCATTATTTTTAATATTAGATCTGACCTTATTCTCCAATGGATGTAGCCTAAAAGTTGAACCATGTTAAATCTCGGTGTTAGTAAATTATTTTTATTTTATTTGTTTTATTGCGTGATTTTCCCACTCATAAATGCATGCACATCGTTTTATGTATTATTTGTGTCTCATAAATCTGGGTTCCGCTACGCACATCTGCATTCATCTGAAAGGACTTGACTCTGTGAGCCCAACAGTTACATATGAATCAAATGAAACCAAAATTTGAGGAGCTTTCACAATCAATTTTAAAAATAAGGGGTTTTTACTAAGGGATATAGAGCTGAGGCACTGAAAAATAAAATTAGAGCCTACATAAGTAATTTTCTTATGATTGTAATAAATTTAAGTAATCTTTTCAAGAGATTGTTTTTCTGATCCTCTTTACCTCTGTTATTTAGCAAATATATAAACAATTTGTATTAAATGAGACTCTCAAATTGTTGCTCCAATCTCTATTCTACCTTTCAACAGCCTTCCAACATTATATAATTAGGCAAAGGCACACTGCCATTGAAAACAGTTGTGTCCAATACAGGACTTGAAACCCTTATTTTCACTAAATGCATTTACCATATGGAGTCAGGTAACCTATAGAATATTGACAACCATGTCACCAATTGCATCAAATTCATTGTGGTTCAGGATGCTATGCCTTATAAATCTCTAGAAATATTCACTCTACACAATACTTGAAGTGGTCAAGGACTGTTTTCCCCTTGAGTTCCTGGCTAAAAAACCTGTCAAAGAACTCCCAAAACGTGTAACTCCTGTAAATTGCAGGGCTTTCGTTGCTCACTAATTCATTGGCAGGCCCAATTAATGCAACTAAAGAGGGACCATAAAATTTTGGTAATGAAATTCGAGAGGATGTGGAATTCATAATTGCAACGTTGTTCTACGCTTTTGAACCACCCATTGGTTATAACCTAAACCATTCATACCAACACATAAAGCTCTCTATTTTATGGTATGATAAACACATGATAACATAGAACAGAAAGTGAAAGGCTGTAAGAGAGATAGAAAACTAAAAGACACTACTGAAGATATTTGAGTCCCCAAAGAGCATTATCCTATTGGGACGCATAGTTTAATACTGTACATCTACTCCCTCAGCTAGGACTCATATTTGGTGGGTTTTCTCAACAAGAAGCTTTAGAGTCAACTGAAGAAATTAGAATCATTGGATCAATATTTAAAAAAAAAAAAAATGAACGAAGTTCTCATAAAGTCCAAAATTTGAATGCATTCCATATATTATGCTCCCAAGGGAGCATAGTTCAGTTCTAGTGCATCGGTCAGATGACCTACTCGAGGATTTTTACAAGCTGAATTTTTGGGATCTCACCCCCGAAAAATTGGACGGTTTCTACTCAATCTTGAGATATAATCCTTTTCAGGATACTTAGATCCCACGCTCTATAAATGGGACGATTTCTACTCAATCTTGAGATATAATCCTTTTCAAGTGTTTAGATGGTGCAATTAAAATTATTCTTTGTTGAGGTTAATATATGTATCAAAGAGGTTATATCTCCAAATTTTGGGGGGCCTAGGCGGGGTTTTATCTGTGGAAGTAAATGGACAGTATACTTCTGAGGGAGTAGAATATCATTTGGGATTTGAACCAAGGGAATGAATCTGCAATATGCTTTTGTGGGTGTGCATATAATCTTTCTGGAATATTCAATTGCCAAGTAAAAACTATATATAAAATCACATCACCACGACGCTCATATGTCCAATGGAAATAGTTGGAGTGTGTTGTTGTACTGCTCAAAGAAAATCAAAACCCTGAGCTGGAAGAACATCATATCCCAACCGTCCAGGATTGACATATGACTGTCGAGTTGACATATTTATTTTCCAACAATGGACTTCCAGAAATTGTGTATGAACTTCTAAAATCTTGGACTCATTAAGGGCCATGTTTCTATTTTGCGGAAATAAAGATGCTTTTCAAATTGGATCCATGAAACACATCGTGCCTTAATTTAACAATTTCTTATTCAGCTAGTCAGGGTGGCAGGGCACCATAACAAGACATCCTGAATTCCAGTTCTATCATAAGTAAGATATTCATTTCTCATTAAATTACCCCCAAAAACACCCAAAAACAAAAGGTCATAGTTATTATAAACAATGTGAGCCTAGTATTGACATATGTGAATACTTTGTAACTCCTTGTATAAAAATAGCACAATGTGATTAATTCATTTAGAAAAAAAATTAAAGACATTTAGTTAGTATAAATAATGTGAGCCTAGTATAGACATGTGTGAAAACTTGGAGACTCCATGTTTAAAAATAGCGCCATATGATTTGTAGTATGGGCTGCATTGAAAGTATCATAAGAAGAGCCCAATTATTATCAAGGTAAACTAGGCTGCATCATAAGAATAATGAGAAGAGCTCTGTATCGTACCTCGCTATATTAACCACAAAAGAATTTTTCTCCGGTTTCACGATGATCCATTTTCCATCTTTGAGCACTTGCAATTCTCCTTCTTCATCATGCAAAAGAACTGTAATGCCATTCAGATCGGAATGGCCTTGAAGCCCAAGTGTTTGGTTGGGATTTGGACATGGAGGATAGTAATTTATCAACTGTATTTGATTATGCTTGCCAAATTTCTCATTCAAATAACCAGAATCAAGTCCAAGACCTTCAGATAATAGAGCCAAGAGCTTTAGTATCAATGCCCTGATCTCAAGAGCATACTTGCTAGCAACCTTCCTACAAGAAGAGATCTCCACTGTGTTAGATAAGCTTGAAAACAAACAAAAAAGCAAATGTAAAGGGGGGTTTTAGGGGGGAAACCAGGCCAATATCGATACTTTGTCGAAATGGATTTGGTCTTGGCCGATTCCCAGTCCAAATTGACGATTTCATATCTGGATTGCCGGGTTTCAAATAAATATTGATTATGTGCCACATTCAAATGATGAAAGAAATGGAAAAAAATAAAAGAACCTTCAATTGCTATCTCTCTTGAGTTGGTAATAGAAAGTCTCTAGCAACGAGTTTGTCCGAATGTCACAACTATTAGTAAAACCTAGTTATAGGGGCCTTTTGAATGATAATTAATACTGTCAGACTATTTGATCTGAAACTAACATATACCCTGGTCAATATTATTTTATTAGTTGTTTTGTACATACATTGTAATATATAATATTTAATAATTTATTTTTATTTTATAAACTTTGTTGTTTTGTGTTATTTAGGGCTAAAACACATGATATTTGGAAAAATTAATTTTAATAAAATAAAGATAGCTATTAAAAAAGATAAACTTATATGCAAAATTCCATATAAGTCTTTCATATAATTTTATAAGAGACATTTTCAAAGAATAGATAATTTTTATCAAGATTTACTTTATTGAAATAGTAAATTATTAGTGATAATGATTTGATCCCAACAAGCCTAAAATTCTACTCTATAAAACTCATCATTAGAATTGATAGAAGCATGCCTGTCATTTTATAATAGAAGCAAGACTTGGAAGGACAAAATAGTGCTTAACCGGAAAGAAAAAGCACAATTTCATATAGACCCCCACAAAAATTCAATTTCGTAAGAACCGCTCTACCATTTTTCCTATCGTGCGGCGTTAATTTTTGAATGTATATATGATTCCATCCCCTCCTTATTTCCTCCCCTTACTTTGTTTTTTTCAACGCAATAACTATCCCAAACAAAAGAAGCTAATTTTTCCAATTCTCTCTCTCTTTCTTTAGAAAGATTTAAGGCAAACATTGTGGAGAGGGTGATGTATATTTTGTCACTTTTATTGATGTTTTTTAACGAAAAACATGGGTTTCTATGCTAAGAAAGACATCAGATGCCATCAATTATTTCCAAAACTTGAACGCATTGGGAGAAATCAAAAAGGTAAGAACATCAAGTGTTTAAGAACCGATAATGAAGGGGAACTTTATCCTAGTGAATTTAATAATTTTAGTAGTGAGCATGATATTGCTAGGAGGTTGAAAGATCGTAAAACACCTCAACAAACTGGTATTGTTGATAAGATTAATTGTACCCTTATAGAGCATGCGAGGTGTATATTAAGTGTTGTCGGGTTAGAGTAGTGTTCTGAGCAGAAGAAGTTTATATAGTTTGTTTCCTAATTATTAGGTCTCTAAGCTTCGTTATTAGCTACAAGAACAAGAAGAGGTTCGGACAGGTAAATCTGTTGATTAGTCTTTCCTTTGTGTTTTTAGGTGTACTGCATATTCATTTATTTTAAAGGAGAAAAGAACTAAGTTGGATGCAAAATCCAAAAAATGTGTTTTTATTAGCTATTTTGATGGTACAAAGGGTTATTGATTGTGGGAGCCTACTAACCACAAGATTATAGTTAGCCGGGATGTTATCTTTAATGAAAATTCCATGCAGAAAAAAAAAGAAAAGCCAGATGCAAAAACTATTGAGATGGAATGCACCCATGAGAACTAACGAGATAACGGCCAAGACCAAGAACCTGAAATTATCCAAGTGCTTGAAAAATATTTAGGTAGTGTTGAATTGAGAAGATCCGATAGACTTAAGAAGGCTCATATGGGGCTCAACGACTATGTCTTGTCATATGCTTACCTAATAGAGGTGGGTGAGTCATGTTCTTATCGTGAAGCATGTGAGGTCGATGAAGCTGGTCAATAGAAAGCATCCATGGAAGAAGAGATGGAAGGCCTATAAATAAATAAGACACGGACCTCGTCGAATTACTAGATGAGCGAAAGGCAGTTGGCAGCAGGTGGGTCTTCAAGAAAAATAAGTCTTCTGATGATACTATTGAAATGTATAGAGCTCGATTGGTTTTGAAAGACTATGATCAGATATTAGGTATTATTTTTCATGATTTTTATCTTGTTGTGCACATGTCCACTATTAGAGTTGTTGTAGTGATGATTACAATTCTTGATTTAGCGTTGAATCAAGTAGATGTGAAAAGTGGTTTTTTTAATGATGACTTAAAAGAATAAATTTATATGACACAACCTGAAGGCTTTGTTAAGGAAGGTAAAGAGAATTTGTTTGTTGGCTCAAGAAATCATTATATGGGTCGAAACATAGGTCGAGATGTTGGTACAAATGATTTGACACTTTCATATTGAGCTTGAATTTTTATATATGTGAAGTTGACTATTGTACATATTTTCATGGATATAGTGTTGGAAATGTTACTATCTTGTTATTATATGTCGATGATATGATTATTATAGAACAAAACAAAGATAATATTACAACACTTAAAGCTCAGTTGATTAGAGAATTTGAGATAAATGATTTGGGACTCATTAATCGAATTCTTACGATGCGTGTAATAAAGACAGGAAAAATAGGAAAATATGGTTAACCAGAGGAGCCATGTGGATAGGGTTCTGTAGGGTTTCAATATGCAAATTGCCAAACAAGTTAGTACCTCATTGCTATGCATATGAATTTCCCTTTGAAACAACGTCCTAGCACAGAAGCAGAGACGACACAGATGTCTTGAGTACTATATACATCAGCAGTAGGTAGCCTCATGTTTGTTATAGTTAGCATAATATTCGACATAACACAAGCTGTGGGAGTTGTGAGTAAATATAAGGTAAATCCATGTCATTATCATTGGACCGCTGTGAAGTGGATCCTTTGGTATTTGAAGGGAATTATGTAGATGCAGATTTTACAGGGAACTTGGAAGAAAAACATCTACTACCAGATATGGTTTTTCGTTGGGAGGTGGTGCAGTTAGTTGGTTATCAAGGTTGCAATCGGGGGTGACTTTATCTTCTACAACTGTTGAAAATTTGTTACTTACTTGTGCATCCAGAGAAGCAATTTGGCTAAACATGTTACTTGGTGAATTCTGAGTTGTGCAAAATATGATTCCATCCCCACCTCATTTCCTCCCCTTACTTTGTTTTCTTTAACGCAATAACTACCCCAAACAAAATAAGCTATTTTTTCCAATCTTCTCTCTCTCTCTAGAAAAATTTAAGGAAAACATTGTGGACAGGGTGATGCATATTTTGTCACTTTTATTGATGATTTTCAAAGAAAAACATGGGTTTCTATGCTTAAAAAGACATCAAAAACCGTCGATTATTCCAAAAAATTTAAGGCGTAGGGAGAAAATCATAAAGGTAAGAACATCAAGTGTTTAAGAACCGATAATGAGGGGGAACTTTATCCTAGTGAATTTAATAATTTTTTATAGTGAGCATGGTATTGCTAGGAGGTTGACAGATTGTGAAACACCTCAACAAACTGGTATTGTTGATAAGATTAATCGTACCATTATAGAGCATGCCAGGTGTATATTATGTATTGTCGAGTTAGAGTAGTGTTCTGAGCAGAAGCAATTTGTACAGCTTGTTTGCTAATTATTAGGTCTCTCAGCTCTGTTATTAGCTACAAAAACTAGAAGTGGTTTGGACAAGTAAACCTGTTGATTATTCTTTCCTTCATAAATGTGTTGATTATTCTTTCTTTCATGTTTTTAGGTGTGCTGCATATTCATTTATTCTAAAGGAGAAAAGAAGTAAGTTGGATGCAAAATCGAAAAGTGTGTTTTTATTAGCTCTTTTGATGGTACAAAGGGTTATAGCTGGTGGGATCCTACTAACTACAAGATTATAGTTAGTCGAGATGTTATCATTAATGAAAATTCCATGTAGAAAAAAAAAAGATAAGCCAGATGCAAAAACTATTGAGATGGAATGCACCCATGAGAACTAGCGAGATAACGGCCAAGACCAAGAACTCGAAATTATCCAAGTTCTTGAAAAATATTTAGGTATTGAAGAATTGAGAAGATTCGATATACTTAAGAAGACTCATATAGGGCTCAACGACTATGTCTTGACTTATGCTTACCTAACAGAGGAGGGGGAGTCATGTTCTTATCGTGAAGCATGTGAGGTCAATGAAGCTTGTCAATAGACAACACTCATGGAAGAAGAGATGAAAGGCGTATAGATAAATAGGACACGGACCTCGTCGAATTATGATATGAGTGAAAGGCAGTTGGTAGCAGGTGGGTCTTCAAGAAAAATAAAACTTCTGATGATACTATTGAAATGTATAGGGCTCCATTGGTTTTGAAAGACTATGCTCAAATATCAGGTATTGTTTTTTATGTGACTTTTTATCTTGTTGTGCACATGTCCACTATTAGAGTTGTTTTAGTGATGATTACTATTCTTGATTTAGAGTTGAAACAATTAGATGTGAAAAGTGCATTTTTTAATGATGACTTCAAAGAATAAATTTATATGACCCAACCTGAAGGCTTTGTTAAGGAAGGTAAAGAGAATTTATTTGTAGGCTCAAGAAATCATTGTATGGGTCGAAACCAACGTCGAGTTGTCGGTACAAAAGATTTGACACTTTCATATTGAGTTTGAACTTTTATAGATGTGAAGCCGACCATTGTACATATTTTCGTGGATGTAGCGATGGAAACGTTACTACCTTGTTATTATAGGTCGATGACATGATTATTACATAACCAAACAAAGAGATCATTGCAACACTTAAAGCTCAGTTGATTAGAGAATTTGAGACAAATGATTTGAGAGTCATTACTCGAATTCCTAGGATGCGTGTAATAAAGGCAAGAAAAACAGGAAAATATGGTTAACCAGAAGAGTTATGTGGAAAGGGTTCTGTAGGGTTTCAATATGCAAAATGCCAAACAAGTGAGTACCTCATTCCTATGCATATGAATTTGCCTTTGAAACATTGTCTTAGGACCGAAGCAGAGACGACACAGATGTCTCGAGTACCAAATACATCAGTAGTAGGGAGGCTCATGTTTGTTATCACTAGCATCATATTTGACATAACACAAGCAGTGGGAGCTGTGAGCAGATATAAGGTAAATTCTGGTCCTTATCACTGGACTATTGTTAAGTGGATCCATCAGTATTTGAAGGGAATTTGCAATGCTTGTAGTTGTTGCAATAGAAAGGATTCGAAAGTCACTGTGTTGATGTAGATTTTGCAGGGAACTTGGATATACTAGATATGGTTTTTCTTGGGAGGTTCTGCAGTTAGTTGATTGTCATAGTTGCAATCTGTGGTGACTTTGTTTTCTACAGTGGCTGAATAGATTTTATTTACTTATGCATCCAAAGATGCAATTTGGCAAAACATGTTACTTGGCGAATTTTGAGTTGTGCAAAAAGTTTATCGCTTCATTACGATAACCAGAGTGCCTTGTTTCTAGCAAGGAATTCTATCTTCTATAAAGTTACTAAATATATTGATGCTCGATATCAATATCTTGCAAAAAAGTCATAGTGATGAAAATTCAACGGATATATTAACTAAGCCCATTAGAAAGAGGAAGTTCACTTGGTGCAGAACTTCCTTGGAGTTTGTGGTTACTTGATGATTAGTAATTGGTGGGCAACAATTTTTAGAATAGGCTAAGTCAAAATAGAAACATGTCCTCAAGCAAGAGAATGTTAATAACATCAATACATGTTTCCTATTTTTAGAAGACTTCATTTTTTTTTATAACTACTTAGATATCTTATATATATAGTAATCCTATTTCGTAGGATTTGAAACCTTGTGGATACGGGAAAGAGGGTACGCATTGGAAGATCGAAAGCTTTCCTAACTCCTATAACATAGGGAGAGAGAAGACGGGTCACATGATTGCATATGAGTTTCTCTTTAAAAGGGTTATGTTTTGTAGAGAGAGAAAACAATGCAAGGAAAAGTTTAGTAAAATGGGCAGTTTTCTGTAGCCTTTGGGTTGTGTTCTAGAGAGAGAAAGACTATGTTTCAGGGCTTGAGAGAGCATGTAATCCCTCGTATTCTCCATGCCTGCATAATATTTTTCTGAATAGCGAAAGAGAACTTTGTTATCCTGTATTATAGGAAACTTGCCAAACCACGTAAATCTTTTCGTCCCTATCTTTTCTCTCTTTGTAATGCTTTTCTTTCCTTAAACCTCGGATTTTATCCTCTATAATTTTCACCCAAAAGTGTAGGCCCAAATGCCCTCTTACTTACTATTCTTTAAATAAATAAAAATAAAACAATATTCTGTATGACCAAACAATTTCTAGCCATAAATATAATGAAATGTATACAATGATACTATTTACTTTTGATACAAAGATTTGAGATTAGAGATCAGGTAGTTGAGGGTATGTCATTATTTGGGCACAAAGTCTAAAATAATATTTTTGGAGTGTTACGATACAATTTCATCTCTTGAATTTCACATCCAATAATCGTGACCTCCTCATATAAAAATTAAATGATCTCACAGTATACAAACCTTAAACATAATCATGGTCCAACCAATGTGGTAGGGGGATGCCGAGGGGGTGGATGACATTGTACCAAGCCACCTAGCCATGCTGGGTCTACTTAGTTTCATCAACGCCTAAGAGCTGATTGGACGGTGATGACACTTATAATCATGAATTTTCCATCATCATACAGATTATAGTTAGGGAAAGTATAGAACGAGACCATTTATTATTGAAACAAGGTGGTCACATTAATCTTGACCATTGGATGTGAAATTGGGTGGCTGCAATTATTCCATTGACCAAGCTCCAACTTCAAAAGGAATTTTTTCGAATTTTGTAACACATCCAAGCTATCAAATTTCACATCGAACTGTAAATGATTTCATTGTATACAATCCATGTTAGTTATATCGTGATGGAGTTTACACCATCATACGGATCATAGTTCTATTATGCCAAATACAAGCACACTATGCAACCTATAGCTTTCAAAACTACTAGGACCATCAGGCGGTCTTCACCTCTTTAGGACCATACACTAATTTGGACTTTTCTATCTCTCTAGGACCATCGACAAATTTTTTTTTCCACTCTCTAGGGCGAGACCAAATTGTTGGGCCACATTTTAACCATCGAATCTTGACCACTATTAGGGCTTATCTCTCTGGGGCGAGTGCATAGGATTGATTGACATCTTAGTTGTCAAATTTTGATCCGAGCTGAATGGGAATTTTGAAAGGATGAAGTTTCGATAAGTCTTAAGTTTTATGAAAGTAAAATAAAGTCTAAATTCAATTTCCATCACCGACATTTAAATTTGAAATTCATAAAATTGCACAAATCATGTGGATGTCTATTCTTATTTTTGGGACGAGGTTAACTTATTTTCATAGGGCCACACTACTATTAAACAATTTTCTTGTAGAAAAAAAGTATTCCAAGTGCAAATTGTCTAGGGAAAAATATAGGGAAAACCATAGATACCCCCAAATCAAACTTTCTAGATATGCCTTAGTATTTTTTTTTTTTTATACCACACTAATGATTTGAATTTTTTTTGCACTACTCCCAGCACAAAGGGTGACTTTTTTGGACCAAAATATCTTCGTTTTAATCCACGTTTCCCACTCCAACTCCCTCTAACCTGGTTTGAAACAAAATGTGCCAAAAGGACACATTTTGTATAGGACGAGCACATTGTCAAAAGCCAAGCCAACACATTTTTGTGCCGAAAATGACCATTTTGAAGATAAAAATTCAGTCCGACATATTTTTGTGCCTAACTGGCACATATTGGATGCTAAAGCCTAACTGGCACATATTGGGCATCAAACATGAATTAAAATAGGGGGTATCTTTTTCCTAAATGACCCTGCTTTATGATATAGCGGGGTAGTTGCAAAAATAAAAAGTTTAGGGGTTAGGGAATGATTCAAAAAGTATTAAGGGTTTACATGATTAGAAAGTAGGGTCCTAATTTTTCAAATGTTATAGGCACCTCCAAATTTTACTTTCGAGGCATCCACCTGATACAATTTCGACACAACATGTGTCGGACTAGCTTATGTTGAAATTGCTGGCCCAGAATAGGCCTAGAAAGAGAAAGGGGGAAACAAGGGTTAAACTGAGGATATTATACTCCAAAAGAAGTTACAATTTTTGCTTTAGATGGACATAAAAAAGACAAAGTTGGGATTAATAGTGTGATATCAAAAGTTTTTTTTTTTTGGGGTGGCGGGGTGGGTTACAGGGGATATCCCTAGAAATTCTAATTTGGTACATTTATCTAACATCTCACTTAGGTATTTGATTTTTTTTTATTGATATCCCTAGAAATTCTAATTTGGTGGGTAACTATAATTTTCCCAATTACATAACATCTCATTTAGGTATTTGATTTTATTTTTATGAAAGTAACATGGAAAATATTTTTATAAGGTGCACGTTAGGGACCTATTGTGAAAGATTGTTCTAGCTCCCAGTCGATCAGTTCAACCTCCACATGTACCAATATAAAAAATTTAACTTCTAAAAATAGTATATCTAGTACATATTATCTAGATTATCTAATTTTAAGAGTTTTAAGTATTTATAGATATGCTCGATCTCTCTATTATTGAAACTTTAGACTTCATAACACTGCAACCACAATATGAAGGAATATAGGCATACATGACATAGATTTGTTGATCTTATTAATAAATCAAAGAAAATATTAAAAAGTTATTTTTAAGAAAAACAACTCTTAATCACTCACATATGTAGGATGTAAAATAATTGAATTTGTAATCACCATTTAGTGTCGAAAATTAGAAAAATATATAAAAAAGGCTATTTACTTTTAATACAAGGAGGTCACAACCAAATTTATCTGTCTTAATCAACATCTAATTACTATTAGCAATTGTGATATCTTTGTAACAAAGATAAATGGTCTCATAGTACACACTCCCTAACAAATTTAAACATAAATACCAGTAATTTTCTGGCCTTCGAGGTCATGAGTCTGGGTAACCGGTCCTAACCAAGCAGATCTAGGCAAAGCTATAAAGGCTTAAACGTTTTTAGATAAACTCAAAAAATACGATAAATATGTTTAAATTTAATTCAAAACAAAATACAAAAATAGCGCAAAATAGGTAGGGGTATTTTAAAAAAAGAAAAGTTTATATAGAGCCAAGGCTCTAAACAATCGAATTAGCGCACAGCTCAAAAATTTCACTAGAAGAGGTTGGTTTGATGTCCAAATATAATCAAATTGATCATCCCGACATCAAGATGCATAGACATCAGGAAAAAACATGGATTTCAAGTTTTAGAATAGGACATCTTATAAGGCATTTTTGGACCGTCAATTTTATGGTTTTCAATATTTAAAGAAAAAAAGGGATGGATGAAGTTCATGAAAGCTGAGAGTTTTTTTTTTTTTTGTTAGACGAAAAGTAAAGTATATTTCAGATTATTTCCCTTTTTTCTTTTGAGTTCCTCACTTGACAACCCAAAATAGCCAAAACCAGCCACAATCAGCTGCTGGTTCCAGGCAATCCATACCTTTTTCTTATGAAAGAAATGCGAGAGAGAGAGAGAGAGAGAGAGAGAGAGAGAGAGAGAGAGAGAGAGAGAGAGAGAGAGAGAGAGAGAGAGAGAGAGAGAGAGTAGAGAGAGTAGAGATAGAGAGAGAGAGAGAGTAGAGTAGAGTAGTAGTAGTAGTACGTAGACGTAACGTACGAAGTAAGT